TTTCTTCCAGTGTAATGTTGTTGACTTTTGAGAAAATGCATTTGGATGTTTCACCTTGTTTGATAGCCTCTCATCTTATTTCTCGAGTTTCAAACATATTCACTTTGCCAATTTGTGTGTTGCTCCATACTTGTTGTTAACTATCATCCTTCTATATGCATCTTCGGTAATCCGTATGCTGTTTGTGGTCGTGTATCCTTTCTTATGATTGAATTTCTTGTCTATGCGTCAATTTCCCCATTCATATGCATATCTTTCAGCATACCACTTAAACTTCCATTGATCTTCATAGTTGGGTCCTTGTTTAGCATACGATATGTGGTCCTGTTTCGTAGAATATGTTCCATCTTCTCGGTATATTATTTCTTGCCCATTATCACTGTCGCTCCTCCCTTGTCTGCCTGAAAGACTAATTATTCATTCATTTCCAGGTTTTTGCGTATCATGGCAAATCTGTTCCTGTGTGTAGGCTCCTGATGTATCAAGATCTTTAAAATCAGTTCCATCTCCATTTCCCGTTTTGTGTTCTCATGGAACTGGTCGGCGATATTGATAACCTCCACCAGGATGCCTCCTAGAAGGCTTCTGTGATGTTGAATTGAAAAACGGAGTCTTTTTTGCAGGAACGTGGTTGTTTCGGGATTGAGAGGAATTGATGATAAGTTTAATACTTTCTTCCTATCCCCGTGCTGATCAGTAAGTGTTGCCACCTCGAAAGCCACTTCAACTGGGCGTACTGACTTTAACCTAGGCTGTCTAATAATCCCAAAATTACGAGATGTATCGTCATGCCGTTTTGTTATTAAGTCAGAAATCCTACGTGATTTCCTGTCGGTCATGCTCAGGAGTTTTTGAAAATCTTCCGGAGACAGGATCCTGGCCAGATCCGCCGGAGCTTTGACTTAATATTTATAAACTTAAACAGCTTATTCTGCTGTGTAACGTAGGTTTCACTTAATTTCTGAATAGAAGCCTGGTGGAAATAACCCTTAACCTTATCCGATTAGTAGGGCAGAGGACTTCGGACTAGCTGCGCTTTACTAAGTCGCCCTGACAACAAGACCAATTTGCGACAACGAGGTCGACCCACTTCTATAAATGATAGCGTACGTTCTATTCATTTTCATTGTGGGCAAATTCAACTAAAAGTCCTTCATCACCTTAACATAAATAGAGTGAATCCATCTCATACATATGATCTACTGGTAGTCTCGAAAACCACTAAGCAAACTGAAAGTAATTTGGTTGATCTATTTTGATGTTTATATGTGTACCTGAATGCGTGTGTGTGTGTGTACAGTTGTGCACTCAATTTCACCAGCTTTTACATTCGCGATTCGAGTCCCGCTGGGCTCGAGATAGAGATTGTTGTAGCTTCATTTTTGGTAGGTGGTTTAGTTCCTTATTTTCACTAAATCTCTTAATCATGCACAAGCAGTTATTACTTTATTTTCTGCGCCCTTTCTACCTCTGGCCATTGGGCCCAGCAGACTTGATAAGCACTTTAGTTAGCCAAAGTCATTTGAGTTGATGTAAAGCATGACAGTTGGATTTCCTGCAATAAAATGCAGTAGGCAGTCAATTTCACTCTTCCGATCCGACGCCAATTTCGACCCCATCCATTTTTTGTGAGCACCCTAAAAGGGATTTGAATATAGAACACAGCCATGGAGGCCAGTTGGTCAGAGGTGAGGTTCGGATTTCATTTTTTGTAGAGTTGTCTATGAGGCAGACTGGTATTTGCTACAAAACATTCTGTACACTTTGTGAGTGGGATTCGAAATTGTCCATTGAACTTTAATAAGAGTTTGAGTAATTGGAAACCTTCTAAGGCGAGTTTCAAAACTTATCTTGATGGCTGCCCTTTCACTATAAATGAAAATGAGCTCAACAATATATCCTCGTGCCAAAAAAGATTAAAAAACTATCATACATGCAATATATACTCATAACTAAATAAAATCTAAGTACACATAAATTCGGATTACTTTCTTGATTAACAGATATAGAACAATAGGTTTATCAGTTTATAATCTAATTTAAATACTTTTATTTCTGAACTAAGTAGATTTCGAGAGCATGACTAATGCTTGAAAAGGAATCAAGTCACCTCAGCTCGTCTTAAGTGATTTAAGGATTGAGAGTTGAGTTTTCATACAATCAGATGAGTATGTATCAGAATGCCATTTACTTTCATTTATTCTTGCCTCTCAAAAGGCCATCTACTTCTGGCCGGATTGAACAACAGTTTCGACCTGGCATAGGCCAACACTCCCAAGAGAATCCGGTATCGGGATCGTAAATATTCTGGTGAAGTTACAATTCTACTCAGAGTCCGGACGAACCAGTGAGTTACAGGGCAGACATAATATTCAGGGCAAGCCAACCCTTTTTTAAAAATTCCTAAATTACCTTAAGTGAAATAAAGTGAGTAATATTTTATCCAATATTAGTGAAAGTCTCGAAACATACTTATGCCAGAAATGAGTATTGTCATCGAGTGCTTAGTCAAAATTCACACTACGAATGTGGGGCTAAAAACTTTAACATAGTCTAACAGGGCGGAGAAAGGATTTTGGGGGACAGGTCTGAGCAAACTTAAATAGCAACCTGAGGTGGAGTCAACTCATTACAGGAAAACTCCTCTATCAGTCCTTTAATCACCTTAAGCGAACTTGGCTAAGTTCTATTTCAAGAATTACTGATAGTCTCGAAATCTACTTGTATCAAAGTTAAAAGGATTCAGAGTAAAATAAAAATCACAAATAAAACTGTTCTATATCTATCAATCTATCCCTCTAGTTATATGTATATATTAATTTCTAGTTATGGGGGTGTATAAGATATATAATGTGGAGCCGGTTTGTTTTGTTGCTATGAGGATTTGTGAGCAAATTCTTAGGCTTCTTGACTGCGTATTCACCTGAAGCTTTTGTTAGAAGAATATCCGACCATGACAAAGTCTGTACTGTGATGGACGAAAGTTCAGACAATTTCCATCTGAATCGAAGGAGGTCACGTGGAGAGTATCAACGTTCTGGTGAAACTAAACCATTGAAGAGCAGCGTTATTCATGCGACTACAAATCACTTCATTAAATGCTACCACACGAAATGAATGTCATCGCGATAAGAAACTTGAAGTTAGGCGTTGCGATAGTGTCTCCTTTTGACTCAGGTAATTTGCATCCAGATTCACACTTTAACTTTCCATCTTTCAGTCCTTGGTTTTCCAAGTTTTGTTATCTGTGCCTTGTTTGGTTCTCAGTCCTATCCGTTTCCGGCATCTACTGGCGGGCTTTCCACGAACCTACAACTTAAGTTCTAACCTCACCAGCCATGTCAGTGGGTGTCGCTGCATTTGATACATCCGTTGGACATTGTTTCATCTCTCTACTTGTCTCAAACATGGTTGTTCCCTCAATTGTTCGCAATTTATATCTCTACCAGCACTTATACAATGAACTAATTCGTACCGGGCAAGTACTATTTGATGAGGATGGTGATGTTGATGGTGTACTTGATGTACAGCCCTAAGTATTGGCCATTCGACCAACGCGTCATACATTCACTTGCTTACATAACACTTACACAATTAATTGAATTAACTTAAATTATATAAGCTGAATAATTTCGCTTCAACCACAATCCCACCAAAGAATATGATATGGCAAAAAGGCCTAACCTTCCTTGAAATTCACATTTTCCCTGTGACCAAAAGGCACTCGTGGCAATGTGGTTGAGTGGTTAAAATGTCAAGCTCACATTCTGCATTGTCATGGTTCGACTCCCGCTGAGGGTGTTGATAAGACCGATGTGAGGTCGAAACTGCAGTCCACCCTGAATGAGAACAACTCTTGGGAAATCAAGGTTATGTGAAATTCAATCAAAACGTCAGCTCAACTCATATCATTGTGGGAAAATTCTTCTACCAGCCCTTCATCACCTTAAACGAAATTGGGTGAATACATCTCATGAATAATTTAGAGTTTAATTATTATAAGTTAATCTATTAACCAAATTTTTAAATAAATACAATTATTTTTTTCTGTATTTTTATTAATAAAATAAAAATCAATTTATCAATTACTTAGTTAAAATAAATAATGTGCATTTGGTGCTATGGGACGGATAGCTATTTTCGCCAATTTAATGCTTCAAGGAAAGTCAGTATGAGAGCATCCAAACAGGATCTTCTCATCCCTGACTGAGGCAGCATATGAAAGCAGCTTATCTTATCACAAAGTCAAAGTTTTGAGGACAACAGCCAACGCCATAGTAACGATGCTTATGCTCCAGTTTTACAAGGGTTTAATGTCTAAAGTCTGCTTGACTCAAGATGCGAAGGGTCTTATTGAAGAAGATGCTCCAGCCAGGATACAGTCCAGCCACAGCTTAGGCAAGTAAGCAATTAATCGTGTCGCCCAACGAAGCAATCTTCCGCTAACTCGAGGGTATCCGGTCCGTCATTCTATGATTCACACTTTATTTTCCACAAACTTCCAACTACCTATTGAATCTAGGCTTACCATTTCGTCCAACCTCTTCGATATGCCAGGCTGACCTGTCAAAATGGTACTTCAATCATCAATTAATATTATCCTTCATCTCTATTTTTTGTTCCAATTTCTATACGACGCATGTGAGTCTGTCCCCGTCAACTTCATACTATTCCATACAACCTTCTTCTCTCTCCTTCCGGCCTAATCTGTCTAATCTTTCTCTCTCTTTCTCACTCACTCTCTCGTTTGTCTTGTTCACAACAAGCGCCTACCTGCGCCCTACTATGTGTCCATAAATCCACGTGTATACCACTGATCCGATGAGACGTTATTATGTCTCCGGAATCCAAGACGAAGGAACTTCATCAACCCACTTTATGCTCTTTCTCCTATCGGCTGCATCGTTCATGCCTTCCCTATTTGCATCCAGCATTTGCGAATTAATCAGCATTTTTCATTTGTCTCTAATGGGATCGGCCTAATCACTAATCGTCATTGCATGGGTCCCCCTCGCTCTCACCTGCTTCGGCCGCATTACCAACAGTCTTGCCCACCCCATCTTCCATCCCACCACGCGCCATGGCGCCGAGTGGCATCAGATGAAACCGAGGCAGCAAAGCTAGAACGGCTGGTTACTAGATCGACTTTGAGGCAAGCCAGTCTCTTGAAGGCAGTGAAGACGAGAGCGAGCAACTGTATAAGCTACACCTCTTTTATGTATTGCCACGAGTGTGCTTGTCTGCCTTCATCTGTAGTTGTGCCTTTGTGTGTGGATATGGGGATGACATCTGCTGTCGGAGTGAGCTGCAGGCGACCACCAGACGATTGTGGTGGCGGCAAGTCAAGACCCCATTAGAAACAGCCAGAGATTGCGAGGATGACCCTTGTTTAGGGGGCGGCATCAAAGGAGGATGGCACTGGTCGATCAGCCAAAACAGGTTTTGACACCAACCTCTAGGGAAATGGCCACTAAGCTTTGTACCATATCACATTGTGACCGTTTGATGCTTGTCTCGAGGTTGCGTCTCGTCGACCAGACAAACTGCTGCCCTCTCCTCGGTCAGTAAACGTCGGTGATTCCCTCTGGAGCACGCGTTCCAAGGCCTGAATGTGTCCCGTCGCCTAATGAGACCGAATATCCTCTAGTTTAACACACACACACCCGCCCCCTCACTCGACTCTCCCATCCTTCGGGTGTGCGTATAGGTCGAGTCTAGCCACCGCTTCAGCGTGGTTGCCTCCTGCCTGTGTGGCGGAACGGTAGATTGACGAGTATGATACAGATCCAGCATCCAGCGTCCAGCATCTAATACAGATCGGATCCTGCCACATCCTTCGATAGACACACGCAACTGAATCATAGTCAACCAATCGAATTGAGTAGGATTTTGAAACGTTCAGTAGATCTTAAAGGAGTGATGGCAAATTTTCCCCATTGAGATGAGTAGGCCTCAGGATATCATTAGATTTTACATAGCCTCACTTCCCAAAGTTATTCTCCTTCAAAATGGACTGCAATCTCCACTCAGATTAGATTCCATTCTGGGGTGCTGATGGGACCCATGTGAGGTTGAAACGGTTGCCCAATGATCTCATAGTGTTAAAATTCTCTCTCAGTCCTTCATCCAGGGTCGAAACTGCAGTCCAGGCTGGATGATAATACATTTTGGGAAAGCAAGGCTATGTGAAATTCGATGTGAGCAGAAGCTCTACTCGTATCGTTGTGGGAAAATTCAACTACCAGCCCTTAATCACCTTAAACGAAATAGGGTGAATACATGTCATGCAACTGATTCAATGGTAGTCTCGAAAACCTATTTATGAAAAAACGAAAAATAAATGTTGTATAGTGGTTGTTTGACCTTGTTTTCGCAGCATGGTCATATTGGTAGGAAGGCTTGCTGGA